CTCCTCCTCCTCCTCCTCCTCCTCCTCCTCCTCTTCTTCTTCTTCCAATCCTCCCTTCTAGCACTGATGATGTTCCCTAGTTGGGTCATGAAACGTCTGCAAGAAAACCACCCCTAGCTCCAAACCCCACAAGGACTCCTCAATTCAACCCTGAGCTACAAATATTCTCTCCTATCCGATTTTATTTCGCTTTTCAGTTGGAGGGGGGTAAAACCTGAATTTGGGAAAAGACTCCATGAAGCCGTGTGGCTGGGCAGACCTCACTCCTTGCCTTCCTTCCAAAAGGAAGGCGTGGCAGCTGTTTCAAATGGAAAACCTCGTTATACCTGTTCAGCTCCATCAGATCAGGCGCGGGGGGCTGTGTGTGCGTGTGTGTGTGTGTGTCTGTGAGAAACTCACCCTCCCGCCCACCCGGCACAACCTATTAAAAGCCATTGCTCAACTTTTCCCATCGATATTTCTCCCTCTACCACTTTGCTCCGATCTACAATCGCAGGTGTTTTTTTTTAAAAAAAACGGAGTTGCATCCTTGGATGAACAGGTGAGATTAATCTGCGAAATAGAAAAAAACAAACAAACAAACCCTAGCGAGGCAGAAGTGACTTACCTGTCAGAAACCACAAAGTATATTGGAAACAAGAACAGCTCGCTTATAAGAAAAAAACAAACCCAAAATCCACATGGCACGGAAGTAGACTTTTTGCAAGATACCCATAGGGATGAGATGCTACCGGTTCACACCGGTTCAAGCGAACCGGTTGTTAATTTTATGGCCAGTTTGGCGAACCAGCAAATCCCGCCCTTGGCTGGCCCCCACCCAAACCTGCCCCTCCCCTTCCACGAGTCCTTGCAAGGCCCATTTTGGATCTCAAGTAAGTGCAGGGCCCTTAGGGGGGCTCAGAACTTCCAGAAGGCCAGAAACGGGGTTGTTTCCAGCCTCCGGAGCCCGGGGAGGCTGTGTTCGCCCTCCCGGAGGGTCGAGGAAAGTGCCCCCAGGTTGGAGCAGGAGGCCTACTAGGCCACGCCCATCCTGACCACACCCACCCAGCCAACCGGGCAGAGAACCGATTGTTAATATATATTTTTGAACCCCCCCCCGCCCCCCCCCCCCTTAACCCCCCCCCCCCCAAAAAAAAATATTTAACCGACGGATTCATTTGGATCGAAGATGCAAACTTCCAAGGAAGTTTTTGGAGCGGTTCTTTCCAGATTCATCCTAGCCAAAAGGAGGCCCGAGGAGAAAAACCCACAGACAAAATCTAAAAATGGTTGAGCGGTGCAGCCGAAAACCCAGAGTGTGTTTTTCCCTCTCCAGGGTGTGTAATTCTCCGCTGCATCTGCCTTTAATTTAGTTTCTTGGTTACCGGCTTGCTCGCAGCAGGCAGCGGGCTCTTCCCTCGGCCACCCGCTCCCCCCCCTCTTCGCCCCCAAACCCAAAGCATTCCAACCTGTTGACATTTGACCCCCAGAGCCGCCTGGGACACATCAGCTGCCAAATGAGATAATAGCATGGGGGGGGGATAAGTGGGGCGGGACAGGCTGGAGGGACGGGGAAGCAGAGGAGAGATGGAGTGCGGGGGGGGGGGGGGGGGGGGGGCCGGCTTCGGCCAGAGACCGGCGGCCTACCTAGCAGGGTTGTAGGGAGGATGGAGGTGGACAAAGGTGTGATTTGTGGCTGAGTAGTGTAGCCGGGAAAGGGGGTTGGACTAGATGACCTTCCACCTCTAGGATTCCATGACCTTTCGAGAGCAATCAAGCCTCATGGCTGCATCCCGGTAGTCCTCGACTTACGACCACATTTAAATAATGCAGGGAATCCTCAACTTATGATCATATTTAATAAATGCAGGGAGTCCTCGACTTACGACCACATTTCATAAATGCAGGAAATCCTCAACTTATGACCACAATGGAGCCCAACATTTCTGGTGCTCAGTGAGACAGTTGTTAAGGGAGCTTTGTCCCATTTTACGACCTTTCTCGCCACAGGTGTTGAGTGAATCACGGCAGTTGTTACATTACGAACATGGTTATTAAGTGAATCTGGCTTGTTTGGAAGACCGCAAAAGGGGATCATGTGACCCCGGGGACATGGCGACTGTCGTAAGTATGAACCAGCTGCCAAGTGTCTGAATTTTGATCGCGTGGCCGTGGAGAGGCTGCCATAATCGTTAAGTGTGAAAAACAGTTGTAAGACTCATTTCCCAGTGCCGTTGGACCTTTGAACAGCCACTAAACGAACCGTTGTAACTCAAGGACCACTTGTAATTCCCCCTCCCCCTGCTTCAAGACAGGCTATTCTTTCAAATTTAGCTCATCCATTCGGGGATAAAAGTCGATTGAATGATCAAGTTTATTAAAATACTAGCTCGATCCCTGTGCTTCCCTTCGAAACCATACGGTGCGGCTTTGTTTTGGGGGAGGAAAATAAGAGGGGAAAATATCTGCCTCTGCCTACCAGCATCCATCTGGCTAGTGTCCTGTGAGTGTGTGAGAGAGTTGAGGGCTGTTTGGAAACTGAAACAGTATTTGCTGTGTGAGCAAGAAGGAGACAGCAAGGAGCCTGGGCGTGGCTTAGCTCAACTGTTCTGTACTAAAGGTGCTTGGTGCTCTGAAACTGAGACTCCTCTGCTTGTGTTTTGCATTTGGAAGAGATTTCTTTCCAGGTGGAGAAGGGGAGTAGAACTCCTTAGCATCAGAGCCTGTTGATAATAATACAGGATAATAATAATAATACTCTAAATGCTCTGAGCGTCATTTCGGAGAATCCTTTCTTAGGGAGCCGCTAGAAGCCGAGAGGAACAGACGTGCCCAATTTCAAGTTTGTAGGCTTAATGGTTCTGGAGATTTTTGTGATGATATAGATGAATAGAAGATTCTATCTATTTAAAAAAAAAAACAAATTCCCTTCGATTCTGTCACTCGGAAAGGAAATCCCACCC